GCTTGTGGGGGGGGGGCGAGACTCGCCTTCAGACCTGTCGTCTCCACGTCCCAAGACCCCGGCACGGCAGTGCAGAGAAGGAGACCTCCCCCTCCTCCGGCTTCTCACCTCGTGTCGTGCAACCCATGACCAAGAGCTGACAAGGTGAGTCCCAGGAGCCGTCAGGCATTCCCAGGGCTCGTGAGGTACCCACTGCCTCTCAAGCCAAGTTACTGGAAAACAAGAGGAGCCTCAACCCAGACGGAAAGAACTGCTCCTGTAGGGAACAGAGGAACCCAAGCTCCGGGGCAGGGGAGGAAACCACGCCGCAGGCCAGTGCTGTTGAGTACGGCTGAGAAGAGGAGAAACAGGCAGTCGAGCAGCAAGGAGACGCGGGGCCTTCAGGAGCAGCAGACCCTGTGCCCAGGGAAACCCCAACGTGTATGAGCAGTCTCCTTTTGGCTCTAATAAGAGCAAAGTCTCAAAGCCAAAGCTGGCAAGGACTTTAAAAGGTCACACAAACAGGACACAGTTCCTTGGTCCACACAAGACACACACACTGTGCAGTACCCGCTGCACACCAGCCCATGCTGAGGCCAGAGGGCCACACCCCACATCTGCGGCACCAGCCACTGCAGCGTGAGCCCTCACACCCACTGGCACTGGGAAGACCCTCCATAGAAGCCCGGGCGCTGGGAAGAGCCCACATGCCAAAGAGCAAGTCTCAGGAACACCCTAAAAGTCATGAAGACATTCAGCAAGGGAGACTTCCAAGCAGGCAAACCCACACAACATGCTGACCCACCAGGGGCCCCAAGGTGAGAAGTGCAAAACGGGGTAAGAGGAGAAAGCCCAGCTGTGATGGGAGAGGACAGGGAGTTCTGAGGAGTGGTTCCCAGAGTACAAAAGGAACTCAAAAGTCACCTAAAACCAAACCCAATGGGGTACGTCTCCCGGGCAGGATGAAGACACTCGTGGAAAAGCTCACAAAGTTGAATAGTGCTATTGCTGTCCTCCTCCTCCTCCTCCTCCTCATCATCATCCTCTGGCTGTGTGCTGGAGAATGAGTGAGTGCGGGAGGGACCCCACACATCAGGATCCGAGTGTACGCAGACTGGAGAAGGAGGCTCAGGAAAAGCACTTTGGTTTGTCCCTGTGTTTGGACCCCATGAATGAAATTCCCACACAGAGGCCAGAGGAGCCCCTGGTGTAGTGTGGGCTGGATCACCTCCCAGGCACCCACCAGCCCACCACAAGAGCCTGGGGTTCTCCCTGGTCCACACTGCCCAGGGAGCCAAAGAAAACTGTCCACTGCTGGCCACTAATTCCATCTGTCTGCTTGGGCAGCTGCTCCCAGGCCACTGGCAAAGCAGGACAGGACAGGAGGGTCGAGGCCTCGTCAGACAAGTACACCCAGCACCTAGAACCTCCCGCACAGAGCCCCGTATGGCTGTGAAACCAGGAACCCTGGACGGAGGCTGCCCAGGCACCGCTGATACAGTCCTCCAGCAATGTCCATTGAAGCGCAGGACCAGCAAATGCACTCCCCACACCGCAGGCCAGCCTGCACCCTGTGACACGCTCTGCGACCACCATCAGCCACTTCACCCTCAGCCCTGCCTGCAGCCTCGGCTGTGGCTCCTGGGTCTCCATTGGCCTTGCTTTTACGAAGCTAATTAGACGGCGTTTGCTAGTTAGTTGTCATTAACAAGCCAATCTCTCTCTACAGGACTCTCAGGTGATCGGAGCCCTCCTAAATGCACCATTTAAATCCAGCCCAAATGTTCTGAATGTGCTCTGACCAAGGCACAGCAAGCCAGCAAACCGATTACATGTCAGGGACGCCAGAATTCTATTAGGGACTGTATGTCTCTTTGGGATCCTACAGACTCTGCTATCGACTACAGCCCCCAGGGAATTCCATTAGAACAGTCCCTGTTTACATAATTACGTGAATTTAGGGACCTGTCAATGAGATGCCACCTTGCCAACCTGCCCTGCTCTGTTAGCTCGTCAGAGTCCTTCTGAACGTTGGGTGTGCCACGCAGCACTCCCTGCCAGGACTGTGTCACCCGCACATGGGATAAGCCTGCCTCCTGTGTCCTTGATGCTTCACTCAGCAAACGCTGATGGTACTGCTCCCTGAAGCACCCAGGACAGAACCTGGGGGCGCTGCATTGTCCTGGACAAATCCTCAAACTGTTGGCTTTCTGTTCGGCCCTCATAGGAGGCAGGTGTCTTAAAGGTGTGATTCACCTCCTCAGGTATTTATGGATTGCTTGAGCTTCTCCCGACACCACGCCAGCTCTGTAAGGGAACAAGGAGCCACCGGATTGCTCTCTCGCGGTCATGGCCGAGGCGATCTTTGGCATGCAAGGCACTGGCAATGCAAGCCAAGCGGCATTTATATAATTGACAAAATTCTGGTTGAGACGCTGATGTCACCTCATCCAAAGCTGCACCAACAGTCCAAGATTTTAGTGCTGAAAAGGACAACAGGCTCTGCCAGAGCCACCTCCCTCCCACCCGCAGAGCTGGTGCCCGCCCGAGGCAGTGTGTCTCTTGAGCAACTGGCTCCTGGCACCTGTTCAGCCAAAAGAGACTCCCAGGTTCCCCGTGTGAGGTCAGAACTGCCTCCTGGTGCCCGTCCATCTGTAGTGCGAGGTCCTGAAGGTTTTGTTCAGTGGCTGAATGAAAGAATTCTAATGTTCCCCAAAGTGAGGAAGCACCGTGGGAGCTCTGACCACTGAAGCTGACACCTGTGCCCCACTTGGTCTTTCCTTTCTGCCTCAGCCCCTGCGGTTTCTTCATCGGGAAAGTGAGACCTCCGCACCTGGCCCACTCTCGTCCTCAGGCCAGGGTTCCACACATGCATACAGCAAGCACTCGAGCTGTGTCTCCTGGGCCAGCGTGTGAATGTGGCAGGCTCCCAGGGACAGAGTGGGATGAACACACAGCTTCCAACGTGGCCAGGAAAGGGCCGTGCAGCTCCCCGGCTGCGGACGTCATAATTCTACCCACATTTCTGGGCCGCTCTGCCTCTGCCCTGCTGGAGGCACCACGGTGCAGCGCCCCCTGTGAGGTCAGCTAAACCCGCCAACCTTGAGAATGCGGCCCACTGAACAGCCAGCCGCCATGCCCCACAGCCCTAGGTCTGAGGATGGCCTGGCCCAGGGCTTATGTCCCTAGAAGGAGGACTGTGGCCCTCTGGTGTACACGTCCCCCTTAGGTCACACTGGCCTCTGACCACCATGGCCCCAAAGCCTTTGGGAATCTGAAGATTTCGCATCACCCTGGGGAGAAGGCCTCAGTGGGTGGGTACAGCAAGACAGTGACAGGGCAGCGGGTGAGCCCACCTGGTCCAAGCAGACCCCATGCAGCTCAGTGTGCAATGGCTCCATCGCCCCAGGAGACATGTGTCTGGGAGATGTTTCCCTCCAACTGAGACGAACCCGGAACACTTGGGACCATCAAGCCGGCAGGAGCTCTCTGGTTCCAGCAAGTCGGGCTGCAGGTGGGGTGGCCAAGAAGAGCCCACTGGGAGGCAAAGCAAGCCCACAGCAGCTTCTGGGAGCAACGCCCACCCCCACCAGCCGGTGCCCGACACTGGAGAACGCCAGGCTTTGCCCACACAGCCTCCCTCACTCCTCGACAGAAAGCCTGCTGTTGGAGGGCAGGGGGTCACCACCATGTCACCACCCTGGAGTGGCACTGAGAGTTCAGGAAGCTTCCCAAGGTCAGATGGAAGTGCCCGCTGGGGTGCCCGCTGGCCAGTGTTTGGCTCTCAACCCCAGCACCACGCTGAGGCTGCTCAGGCTTGTTCCTTCTTTAGGAAACAGTGTGTCTAGTGAGGTCCCAGGGTCCGGCCTGGCTGATCCCTGGACCTACAGTGGCAAGTCAGGCCCAGGAGGACCCTTGTGAGGCTTGGCTCCAGCAGGAGTGACGAGCGGACAACACGACGACAGTGCCTGGCCCACGTGGCGGCTGCTCGCCCGCTGGGCGCGGAGGCTGTCCTGGAGGCGGGTTCTGGAGGAAGACCAGAGAGGACCCTGAAGATCTGGTGGGAGTGGGGCATGACGGGAGCTGCAGGACAGGTGCGAGGGCACAGGGTCCAGGGAGGCCAGAACCAGGCGGTGAGGACACAGGAACTGGCACGCAGGCTGGGGTCGGGACTGGCTTGGGGTGGCACAGCAAGACCTGGCGAGGTCCCACGAATATCACCTCGCAGGATCTCGAGGGAGCCACTGTCCCGAGGGGCGGCACCCTGAGCACATGCCGTGCCCGGCCAGTCTCCACTTGAGGTCCATCTCTGGCCCCTGCTCTATATTCTGCCCTGCCCACCTCCTCAGCTTCCCTGCCCTGGAGGCACGGGGTGAGGGCAGGGCCGGTTGTGCGGGAGAAACGTACCCTGGCCGCGGTGAGCCTCCAGCCCCCCACCGACAGCTGAGGACACAGGCTCAGAGCAGGCCTGCGACTGTCCCCTTGCACGTCCAGCTCCAGAGCGTCACGTACAGGGACTCTGAAGCCCAGCAGGGGTCCACGCTGTGGAGCACACACCTCTCCTCCTGAACCTCCCCTCCTTCAAGTGCCATCTGTAGTCTGCTTTGGCCACGGGAACTTGGTAGACATGACGGGGGCTGGACACGCGGCCCACACTACTGCCACACAGAGCAGGACCTGCACCTGGTCTACACCTGGCACTAAGCTAAGAGCAGCAGACTCTGTCAACGGAAGTTCCTCAGCCCAAAGCAGCTGCTCCAGTTAACCCAGGGACTTGGGAATGCACGGTCCAGGGCGAGGACCACACGCCCTGGGATCTGGGAGTTACTTGTTACACAGCATGTTCCAGGCATTAGCTGCCTGGTAAGAGATGACTCCAAGCTTACCAGGAAAGTTCCTGGGCCACACAGAAGTGTGGCCAGGAGCAGGGCTGTCCGGGGGCCTCCGGGAGGAAGCACGGAGCTCGCCCTGCTGCCCCACTCCACCCCCCACTGCAGCCCCTGCCCACGCTCGGCACTCACCTGAGTCTGAGGCTGCGGGGCTCACCAGGCTGAGCAGCTCCCGCTCCTTCTCATAGTCCCCTTTGCAGAGCAGCTGCCCCTCCTTCAGGACAAACTCATCGCCCTTCTGAAGCTGCCGCTCGCAGACACAGCAGCAGAAGCAGCTCAGGTGGTATACGCTCTTCTGGGCCCGCATAACAAACTCGTTGGGGGTGATGGCCTCAAAGCAGCCCCCGCATTTGACAGCAAACAGCCTGGCAGCAGGGAGAGAGAGGGGGGACAGCGCTGTGAGTGGGGTCTGGGGTGGTCAGCAGTGCAAGGGCCTTCCAGACCTGGGTAGGGATGCCTGCCCTGCAGTGGACTTAAATCCGGGTTACTCAGTCTCTTCCCGGTCACTCTGATCAGCAGCAATCCTGGGTGGCCAAGAAAGACCTAAAAGATCTCTGGGGTTTCGTCTTCAGCTGCCTCCCACAGGACAGTGACTTTGTCACGGCTCTGGGACGAGCACTCACGTTCCCGAGAGCCATCTCTGGGGTCCGTCCTTTGCAGCATTTGTTTTACTGTTTCCAAAATAAAGACTTGTTTTCCTTCCTAAAGTAAGAGCACAATGGTGGGGGTGGGTTCTCTGAAAAACACTCTCTCTGTCCCCATACGCAAGCGGAGTGGGTGGACGTGGAAAGGTCAGGTGGTGTGAGGACAAAATGGCCACTGTGAGTGCGAGAGACTGCATGCCACTCTGCGTCACCAACACAGAACCAGGTGGCTCCAGGGGCAGCAGCTCGCTCCAACAGCAAGCCCTCGGCAGGGGCTTAGCACGTGTCTCCCTGCCACCAGGCCAACTCCACAGTGGCCTGAGCGTGGCCAGGGCCCTCCAGGTGCCCCCATGTTCACTCAGCCGCGGCCCTTCCCAGCCGCCCCTTCATTCACTCAGAGGCCTCCGCTGTGCACCCTGCGCAGGCCACACACTCTGCCCCACAGGAGGGGAGGGAAAGAGCCAGCACCGGCGGCAGGCACGCAGAGGCCAGTAAGTGTCCAGTGTCTGCGACACGCCGGGCACAGGCAGGCACAGACGAGGCCCGTGCAGCACCATGGCCTGCCTGAGGAGAACCAGTGAACCCAGTGTAAGTGAGCCTCGTCCCTGGGGACGTGTGTCCAGGAAACAGCACGAGAACAGGACAAAGCAAGGCTCCGTGAACACAAAGGAGGCTGACATCCAGCCACTGTAGGTTGACACATCAGAACGTGCGGGCCCTTCCCAACCAGGGAACCCCACCAGCTGGGGCCCAAGGCCTTGCTGCGCAAGGTCTGTATCCTGGAAGAGCAGAAGGGTCGGCGCCCAGGGAAGAGGACGCGAAGGAAGCAGGTCCAGAGTGGCAGGAGACAGGGACACCACCGGACACTCAGAGTGAAGGAAGCAGGACTTGAGGAAGGGAGCAGAGCCCCCTGCCACAGTCACGCTGGGGCCAGCTCCCAGAATGGGACAGTCTGCCGTCCTACCTCAGACAGGAGCCTGAGCCACCACCCCCGTCTGCCTGCCCTGGCCACAGGGATGCCTCGGGAACACCTGTCCTGATGCGCCTCCCACTGCCTCTCTGCCCTAGAGAGGAGCTGGCGGCCACACGTGGGTGACCACGCATCAGGTGCACAATGCCCCAAACCAGAGCTCCAGGCCCCAGCGCCCCCCACCCCCAGCTGCAGAGCTTCCTCTGCGTCTGACCCTCTGGGCCCACCAGTCCTTTCACTCCCGCCTCCAGTGCTCGGCCAGGCTACCACTTCATCCCTGGCCCCAAGTCCCCGGTCACCCTGGCTCACCTGAGCCACCTCATCCGTGCTTTTCCAGCAGCTGGTCAAAGCCCCTTTGTCCCAAGCCACACTCCTCCTCGCTCCCCTGGAATGGGCTGCCTGGAGGCCACAGTGCCCAGGGGGCCGCCCACCACGGAGCCCCTGAGCAGGTGGCAGCAGATGGGCTGGCCTTTGCTCCCGGCCAGCTGACCTCCCGCTCTTCCCTTTTCATCTACCCCACTCCACACACGCCCCCAAGTTGAAGGAGCTCAGCAAAGAAAGCCCACCGTGTGGACCCAGGAAGGCCGCAGGCAGGCACAGGGGCTGCCTGCCCGGGTCCTGCTGGGGTCCCCTGGGGATTACGGCCTGAAGGGGCCGGCACTCGGTTCCTGCGTGGCCTCTGCAGGTTCTGCTTCTGAGCCAGGTCAGCCTCCTCACTGCCTGGGCACCCTCACCACCGGGGAGTGCTGGAGGCACACGCAGCCCCCCACCCGTGTGCCAGATGTGTGCACAGCTGTGCCCGTGCCCTGTGGTCCCAGCTGCTGGCTGCACAGCTCCCACACCCTGTTTTCCCTCAGGCTCAGACTAGCCAGGAAAAGGATTTGTTTAAAAGTCCAGGTCATAATTAAAACACAGCCTGTCTCCTCCTGGAAGTGTCCCCATGGTCACCTCCCCTCTGAATGCTAATGAGACCTGGCCATGGGCTCTGAGCCCAGGGTCCCCAGCCCCTCCAGGCATGCAGGACCATGCCCGCTTCCCCTAAATCTCCTCCCCCTCATCTCACTCCCTCACCTTCATCTTCCCAAGGAAAAACGGCTGTGCCCATTTCAGAGACCCAGCCCTCAGGGCCACCCTTCCTGGACTGGTCATCCGGGTGGGACGGTGCAGGACAGAGGCGGCTGCCCCTGTCGTTGGAGCCCTCAGCTCTGCAGGCAGCAGGCTGGAAGGGAGTGACCTTGGGGGGCGTTTGGGGAGTGAGGGGAGAAGCCGCTGGAAGGAGTCCGGCACCTCCGTCTTCTCCTCTCCCTCCTGTCCTCCCTCGCCCCTGCCCTGGCCCACAGGCTCCTCCAGGCGGAGCCCCCAGCACTCACCCAGTGCCCTGCTCACGCCTCTTCTGGTACAGCCACGGTCCTGGTCACAGGCCCTCCACGGGCTGAGCACCCCACTCCTCCCTGGCCGTGGTGGCGCCCATCCCAGGACCAGGAAGGACCGATGAGGAAGTGGGAGGTGGGCCTGGGCAGGCAGGTGGGCCGCTGACCCCGCCTCTGTCTTTTGACCCCCCGGTTCTCCTTTTTGCTCCTAAGGCAGTTCTCATGCTTGAGTTGTCCAGGGCCCTCCTGGGAGATGGTTCCTCCTCAGCGGCAGAAGCCCTGGTGTCCAGGACCCTGGCTCTGGCATGACCTCAGGGCACAGCGCCCTGCTCCTTAGACAAGCCAAGGCCTCCGTCCTCGACCACCAGGGGCAAGGTCACCCAGGGAAGCTGCATTTCCTGTAACAGCCCTCTTCCCCTTGCCTACGTAGGAGCTACAGGGAAAGGCAAAGACCAACAGGAAAAGCCACTGACCAGGGAGGGAACAGAGGAGGTGGAGCAGGGTGGGCTCCACACAGCCTTTCCTGGGCCTCGGGCTTGTTATCTTCTTTTTTTGGTACCAGGGATTGAACTCAGGGGCACTCAACCACTGAGCCACATCCTCACACCAAGTTTATATTTTATTTAAAGACTGGGTCTCACTGAGTTGCTTTCCTGAGGCTGGCTTTGAACTTGTGATCCTCCTGCCCCAGCCTCCCAAGCTGCTGGGGTTACAGGCGTGCTATCATCCATTTTTAATAAGCAGTGCCGCCCAAGGCAGACTGTCCAGGAGTTCAGGGACAAGCAGGAGTGTCCCTGTCCCCAGCCCAGGAGGGACTATCCAGGAGTTCAGGGACAAGCAGGAGTGTCCCTGTCCCCAGCCCTGGGCAGACTGTCCAGGAGTGTAGGGACTCCAGGCTGTGTCTGGAGAGGCCAAGATGGTCATTCACCTTGACCCAACTCCTGCAGACTTCAAGGGAGATTCCTGAGGCCTCCACGCCACACCATCAGGTGGAAGGAGCCGTGTACTACGCTGTCGCCCTCCAAATGATAAATCAGAGCCATCTTTGCCCTGGGCAGTAGCTATTGCAGGCCCCATGTCCACCCTGAAACTCATCCATCAGGTGTGAGGAGCCCTGGTTAGGAAGCAGAGGGTGTGCTCGGCGTCCCCCCTCTCCACCAGGGGGCAGCATGGCGACACTCGCCAAGGGCCATGTTGACTTGGTAACTGAGGCCATCCTCGCAGAGACAGGGACTGGCCAGGAGCCAGCAATGTCTGCAGGCAAGTCTGCTGCGGGGAGTCTGGGAGAGCATGTATGAACTGAAGGAGAGACGGTGGGAGAAGAGCTTTCAAAGGCATGGGGAAGCACGAGGTGGCTTGTGGCCTGGGCACGGCACATGAGCAGCCTTGTCAGCTGGCTGCAAGCTGTCCTTGAGGCTGGGCCAGCAGGCCACAAAGAGCACTGAGCACCGCGCGGCGGTGGGAAAGTCTGCAGGCACAATAGCAGTGGCAGGGTCTTCTGCAGGAGACAGTCTCAAGGCTCACAGTGGAGAGAAATGGAGAACAATACCAGGCCAGCGGGGCCAGGCAGAGCCCCTGTCCCCCGCGGCTCCAGGGGAGCGTGGGGAGGCCCGCACAATGGGCTGGCAGAGCGCAGAGCGGGCTGCGAGGGTGATGTCTGCACGCCCCAGAGGCGCCGGGAGGCCTCATCAGGAACACAGGGCTCCTCGCCTGTCACAATGCCCCTGCCGATGGGTGGTCACCCTGCCATGGTGGGCAGAGTTCTTGTTCTCACAGAGCCTCTGTCCCCGTCGGGAAGCCTCTGCTTCTTAAGTGTCACGGATTCAAATCTCAGCTTGGCCTGTAAGCCCCTGAGGGAGTTGCAGACTGGTTGGGAGTCTCCGCTCCTCTGTCTGCAACATGACGTCCCCCATCTCAGGAGACACTTTGGAGATTAAATGACGTGCTTTATACACACCTGCCCATGAAAATACCTGAGACACTTCCAGGCAGCCCGATGGCCTGCATGGAGCTCGGTGGCCTCAGGCCCTGGGCTTCCTCACCAAGAAACACTAGGTCAGACGCCAACCAGCCACCGCACGGCACTGGGAAGAGGTCAGCAAACACGAAGGCTGAGCACTTGAGAGGCAGCCATGGCCCTGGCCTTCCCTGGGCCACGGCAAATATTGACCCACCACCTGCTGCTGAGCGACACCCGTGGCCACCGCCTGGTGCCCAGCATATGCCCAGGACATCGGGGCGCGGGGGCTGGCCTTGCAGACCAGCAGCTGCTCCTTCGCTCACAGACACCATTGGGCAGATACCTGGAACAGAACCTTCCCTACCTCATTCAGTGCTCAGGTGTCGGCTTCCTTCCCAGGCTGCTGACCATATGCGGACCT